GGGCCTGATGCGGAGGTGACGTGGTCTGATAGGGCTCTAGTGTCGCTGCAGCCTTGGGACCGGCCTGGGCATGCAAGATGAGCCTCCAACGAGGTCGAGCGTGCGGCGGGGACCTAATACTACCGAAGTAGGCTTTGATGAGAATGAAACTAGAGATACAAGGCGTTGGACGTAGCATTGTTTCGATGTTGCATGCGCATGACGGGCATGTCTTGTGTGTGGGCGAGTATCATGATGTGAGCCTGAGCGGCTGCTAGGACGTGCGTAGCAGCAGGGGACTCTCACGTCTCACACTGCAGACTCGGAGCTTCGAGGTCAAGGAGGTCAGATAGCCGCTACCCTTATCCAGAGCAGGTCACGAGTCACAACTGCTCGTGAGCGCGCCTCAGGACAGAAGTTGACAAGCCGGAGCGCGGGAAACTTAACCGCAGCAGCTGTTGAAAAACAAGCACTGCCGATCCGAAGAACCAAGTCCGACAATCAGCAGATGTGAACCGACTCGGAATCATCTTCCTTTTTTTGCCGCAGAAAGTGAACATCTTGTAGTAAAGCTGTATTTTGATACACCGGTGCCCGCCCGTACAAGCTGCGCGGGTAGGGGTACTCGATGCTACGGGTGATTTCATCACCTGCATAGGGGGTAGGGGGTAGTCGACCACCAGCCAGGCCTCCGAAACTCGCGTGACTGCTTCCCCATGTCGGGGAGTAGTAGGGTGCGTTAAAAAGAAACCCTCCCGGGCACTGACATCCTCTGAATGCTTCCCTGCTGCCTCCCACGTGCTCCCTCCTCCTCCGAGCTCGCTGCCGCTCTGCTTCCGGAGCCGGAGGACGACGACCTGCTCCGACTGTCCTATCACCGATGGCCTCTCGATGCTTGGGACCTGATCGGCACTCCTTCCGCGTCCGAGGAGGCTCCTCACACGCCCTCGTCGCCGGCGAGCTCGGGGCCCGAGGCGAGCAGCCTGAGCCTGAGATGGTCGGACAAGGAGTGGGGAGGGGGCGGAGAGGAGTTTGAGAGCTGCTGCTGGCTGGAGCCGCTGGAGCCGTCAGCGGCCGAGCCGGATCGGGGAGGGGGAGCGGAGGAAGCCCCGGGGCTGTCGCCGCCCTCACGGACTTGGACGGCCTTGTCGGGCCCCGCAAGAGGCGAGCCTGGACGGAGGAGGAGCGGGGAGCGCACAGCAAGGCTTGTCACGGCAAGTCCAAGCTGTCGCTCATGCAGAAGCTGGAGATCATCGAGCTCTACGAGACCACGACATGGATGAGCCAGACGGAGATCGCGGCGATCTTCGGCCGGAGCCGGTCGGCGATCTCCAAGATCCTGAGGCCGGAGAGCGTGCGGAAGCTGAAGCAGGCGACGGCGCAGAGGGGCGGGGTAGACGTGAGGCGGACCAGGCTGACATCCACCAGGAGGGAGCAGAGCGAGGGAGTGTGAGAGCGGGCTGGCGGTCTGCGGGTCCATGTCAGCGCACCAGCGCCAAGGCGGCGATGACGTCGATACACCAGCTGTACAGTATGAACGATCAGAGGGTACGCACGGGAGAGCGTGCAGAGCGAGAGGGCAGGCAGCGGATCTCGCGTGGGCGGCGCTCGGCGGCTGGGTGCCGCTGGGTGCCCGAGCTGCCTTGCGAGAGCTGGTCTGGATTCGTCCTAGACGACGCTCGCAGAGCGCGGCGCTCTAGGCTGGAGACTGGCTTGCCTACGCGGGGAGGTCAGAAGGGCCTGATGCGGAGGTGACGTGGTCTGATAGGGCTCTAGTGTCGCTGCAGCCTTGGGACCGGCCTGGGCATGCAAGATGAGCCTCCAACGAGGTCGAGCGTGCGGCGGGGACCTAATACTACCGAAGTAGGCTTTGATGAGAATGAAACTAGAGATACAAGGCGTTGGACGTAGCATTGTTTCGATGTTGCATGCGCATGACGGGCATGTCTTGTGTGTGGGCGAGTATCATGATGTGAGGCTGAGCGGCTGGTAGGACGTGCGTAGCAGCAGGGGACTCTCACGTCTCACACTGCAGACTCGGAGCTTCGAGTCAAGGAGTCAGTAGCGCACCCAGGACAAGTTGTTCTGCAAACTATCGGGTAGGAACCATTTCCTTCTTTTTTTTTTTTTTTTTTCCTTT